GGCGCCACCTATCGGTGGCGGAAAACGCGTGCCCGCGGGAGCGCACACCAAGGGAGGATGCGGAGGGAAAGCTTGAAGCCAGCAGGTAAAGAGTATTTGGTCCGGCTGATGGTTGGTTCTTAGCTTTCCTAGGAACTCGACCTCCGGCAGCAGGTGGAGAGAAAGAGCAACGGGTTGAGGAGCTCTGATTCCTAAAGATCATCAAGAACCCCAAAGGTCAACTGTATGAGAGGCAGTAACCCTAATTTCTACTGTGCTTCATTGAGCATACCAGAACCAGGCTCTGAAGGTTGCACTTTCCACTTAGTATCTCATTTATGTCCTCAAAACCACAGAAACAGGTGTGTCTCCATTGTGCAAAAAGGAAATTTAGGCTTAGGGAAATTAAGTAACTTGCTGGGTGTCATGGTATACACCTGTAATTCCAGAGACTCAGGAGGCTGAGGCAAGAGGATTCCAAATTTGAGCCTAGCCTGAGCAATTAGTGAGAGCTTCAGCAACTTATCAAGACCTTGTCTCAAAGTTTAAAAAAAAAAAAAAAGGACCAAAAAGAAAAAAAAAATCAAGTACCAAGGGCCCAAGGTCACACTAGGGATGAAATGATCATTGCAGTTGTCAGGGTCGATTCTTTTAAGGTATTCATATTTACTTGACTGTATTTTACTTGCTGAAATTCTACTTCTCTTCGGGAGACAGTGTAGTTCAGTACATGGAGACCTACCTAGAAAGACCAGGAATCCTGTAAATGGGAATATGTGGTGGTGGTAGACAAAAGGGAGGGGTGAGGATTGCAGTAAATTGGAAACACATCTTTAAAAGGGGTGGTGGCTGCTATTCATCTCTGGTATTGCTAGTTGTATGTGTGAAAGAACTTCCAATTTTTAGATATTAGCATCTGTAAGTTTCCTACTGCTAATCACAGAGGACCACAAAATTGGTATCTTAACAAATGTAACATCTTACAGTTCTATAGAAGTCTGAAATGGGTGTTATTGGCCAAGAGCAAGGTGTCAGCAGGGCTGGCTCCTTTTGGAGGCTCTGGGGGAGACTGGTTACTTACCTTTTCCAGACTCTTGAGGTAGTCTGCCCCTCCCACCCAAATCAGTGAGTTGAATCTGTCCCATCATATCCCACTGACTTCTTCAGTAGTTGTTTCTTCTTGTGACTTTTATTCTTTTTTCCACCTTTTCTTCCCACATTTTTTGTGGTGCTGGGTGTTGAATCTAGGGTCTTGTGCATGCTAGGCAAGCAGCTATTGCTGTACTACATTCTACTTACTCTTGGGGACCCTTATGGTCACATTGGGCCCATCCAGGTGATCTTCCAATTGCAAAGTCCCTTTGGCTCCTAGGATAACATGTGGATTCCAGGGATTATGATGTGGATGCTTTGAGGGGGGGAAATGATTTAGCCTAATAGTGTCTAGAATGCTGGCTGATTATGACTGCTGGCTTTTGCTTCAGTAAAACAAAATTAGTAATGCTGTCTGCTTTATGAGATTATGAAAATAAGTCAATGGGACATTTAGCACAGTACTTGATACTTACTAAGTGTTCAATGAGCATTATTTATTTATTCATTTTTGGAAAACTTTCAATTGACTGTGGAGGTCATTGACTCTGCACTTACTGCTGCATCTGTGTCCAAGCAGCATTTGAAGGGTGATGATCAAGTGTATAACTTGATGACTAGGTAAGCCCTTAGTACTGTCACTTTCGTAAGCAGGAGGCGGTCTGAGAAGGCCAGAGAAAGCAGTCTCAAGAGATTCCACTGTACGTAGATAATATGACTAGTGTCTTTCTTGTTCAGACTGTAGATACATATTCCAACCATGCACCAGGGAGAGCTGTGAGCCCATGGGAAAATCACCCAGGAATCTAGGCTTCTGCTGATCTAACACAGGCATTCAAGCACTGGGCAGAATACCTACTTAGCATGGACACACAGGGAAAGATGCCCTAAACCATGACTATGGCCAAAGGGAAACTAGAATCATTAAACCCTAACAGACTTGGTGCCTCACTTGGGGATGACTGAAGTATCTGACAATTCTAAATTACATCTAAAAGCTACGTTCTCCCATTTAAGATGTCCTAAATAAAATGACATTATTTAGTCTCCTTTAGTTCTGACTTTGTTTTTATATTCTGTATATTAAATCTTTTTTTACTTTTATCAAAAGTAACAGATGGTCCAGTTTTTAAGCATCTTTACTCACAGACTGGTGTTTTCTTTCCTCCTTTGGCTACTGGCACTCCATGGTAACTTTTCACCCTTCCTGCAACTGGAGAGTCACTTATACATTCTTATATAGTAGTCTTAGCTTACTCATATTTTGTTCTCCTTTCTTGTATGCTCATCTGCCCAGATTTCCTCACCTTTTAATTTTATAATTGTAGAATGTTTGTGTAACATTAATCTTCTTTGGAACAAGATAGGGAATAGATTTAGATTTTAAAATGCTATTACAGAAGCATGTTATTTGGGGCTAGGGATATAGCTCAGTTGGTACAGTGCTTGCCTCACATGTACAAGGCCCCAGGTTCAATCCCCAGCACTACCAAAAAAAAAAAAAAAAAAAAAAAAGGAGTATGTTATTTAGTGATGTCATGAAGGATTTTCATCAAAAGTGATATACCAGTTTTTCAGTATCTTTATTTACAAATAAGTATTATAATGGTCAGTTTGGATGTTACATGTGTGATAAAATGCATTATGAAAAGTATCATATTTACAATGAAACAATTATTTTATAAAAATGAGTCATTGGATATGTAACTTCCTCCAGTAACAATTAGTAGACCCAATTCTATTCTCTGAATGGACTAATTTTATGATTCTTCTAGAAGTTCCGAGTTGGGTATAGTTCCTTTTAAGTGATCAAGGCTTAACAGAAGATCCCTAGAAAGGAACAATAGGAACTAGTCCTCTCTAGGATTGAATAGAAGCAGGAGTGGGGAAAAGGGCACTATATATGAGGCCAACAGGATCAACCACAGTGTCATATGCTTGGCTTCAGAGCATTCTGTGCAACTAAGGTCAATCCAGAGCCCAATACATATCCTGTGACCTCTCAAATGCCCACAACTGCTATATTTAGCAGGAAAAGTGGAAGAGGAGGCACAAGAAGGAAAGAATCAGTCCCAAAATTATAGGAACACTTCTACATTGTCAATACTAAGGATTAATTTCTAAAGTAAAGATTACTGCCAGAGGCTGTCCATCTAGCCATTAACTGGAATGCTTGTACACCATCACCAAGGAGCCCCTGGGTTTACAAAACCTTATACAGCTTATTTGTCTCTGATTTTAAAATAATTCATCCCCTTGTTTGGTATGCAAGTGAGCAGTGGAGAAAGTGGTGCATCTGCAATACCTGAAATACAAATAAAAAAGAAAAAGGTTATAATAATCATAGGAGCAAAGATGTAAGTCACTTTAAAAATGGTCAAGATTAGAAGGTGGATTATGATTTCTCTCCCATTAATATTATTCAATAAGAGAAAAATCAAAGGCAGGTCTGTTGTTAATTGGTCTAATCTGTAAAATAAAAATAAATCGATCACTCACCAGCTGGTGCTAAGGATTTCAATGCTTCCAAAAGATGTGGGCTAGAGAATTTTATTAGGCACCGGAGGGGTTCTTTCCTCTCAGCCAAGATGCCCCCATTTAAGTCACTTTTGAACTTCGTTTCAAGCTATCAATAAATATATTTATACATGACAATTATCAGTTAGAATGGTAAAAGTATGAAATCAGATTATATATTTAATTATTGTCATCAAGAAATACAGTAATTAGGGGCTGGGGATGTGGCTCAAGCGGTAGCATGCTTGCCTGGCATGCCTGAGGCCCGGAGTTCGATCCTCAGCACCACATACAAACAAAGATGTTGTGTCCACTGAAAACTAAAATAAATAAATAACTCTCTCTCTCTCTCTAAAAATAAATAAATAAAAATAATTACTAATTATTATTAATAATTATTAATTACTGTATTTCTTTCTTTTTTTTTCAAAAAAAAGAGAGAAATACAGTAATTAATGGAGAGAGAGATCATTTACTTTGCTAACTGCAAAAATTCGAGCACCCAGCAGGATTAAGGACATTCAGCACAGAATAACAGCTGCACAGGGCCCGGCACAGGGAATGCTCCACTTTGGTTCCACCTGCACATGTCCTTCAGTTTGAATTCTTAGTGGAAAATTACTGCTGCCTTTGTATATACCATTTCAACACACTTCAATTTCTTACTAAGGAAGATATAAAACATGTATAGAAGTAAGAAGCACAGTATGGGTCCCATGTGCACATGACCCAGCTGAATCAATTATCAACTTGTGGCCAGTCTGGTTTCATCTGTTATCCCATCTTCCATTCCCCACTGCCCACCCCCACTGCACTGTTTTGATGTAAATCCAAGACACTATAGAATTCTATCAGCATGTATCTAAGAGATCTGGAAGAAGTCTTTAAAAAAAAACTGAACCTCAATACCACTACCATACAGAAACAAAACAAAAAACAAAACAAAACTCTGTATTATAAGTATCTAAGTTTTGCTACTTCAATAGGTACTTAAATTTCAACTATTCATTTAACTTAAAGTGATTTTTAGTATTTTAGTATTTAGAGATAATAATCTGAAATATTTGGGGGATGAATAATATCTGCAACAAATTCAAATGTTTCAGAATAAAAAGTGTGGCAAAATGTAACAACTGATGAATTAAAATGAAGAAGAAATGGATGTTCACTGTAGTATTACTGCCAATTTTCTGTTTTTCAAAATAGACAGGGTCCAAAATCTAGTAGCATGTGAGAATAAATGTGTACTTAGACTTTAGAACTCTAAGATGTGTACAAAAGGAAGTTTGTGAATCAAATCTTTATATCCTAGACCAACTGCTCTTCAGCTTTAATGTGCAAAATCAGTAGAGGGCTTGTGAAAACAAATTGCTGACTCCCCTAACCTAGAAGTGGAATGGTGCCAGGAATCTACGCCACTTATCCATTTCCAGGTAATACTGATCCTGTCAGTCTGGGGACCACACACTGAGAACCCCACTGTCCTGGATTACAAGCTCTTTAAAGGACATTGGTTAAAACCTGTCGTTAAGGGAACCCTACTTGAAAAGTTTCAATCAAGTTCTCTCACTAAAAACAAATCAAACCAAATAGGCTCTGGACCTAAGTGAGTAGGTTCAAAGCAGATTTTAAGTGTGTCTTGCAGCTGCAAGAATGCCAAATAGAAATAATTTTTTTTGGAGCACAGAAGGTGATATGAATATGAACATAGACTCAGAATAGGGTGATCATGATAGAAACCTTTACGTTTTCCTAATGGGCTTGCATTAAACACCTATATCCCCTCTCTGGCCCTTGTGGTAGGTAGCAACACACTTCTGGAATAAGCTACATTTGCAGTATCACTATGTAATGCCAGCAAGGCTATATAATGAGTTGTTTATTCACTTTCTTTTTTTTTTTTAACAAGTATTTATGAACACTAATTTGCCAAGTACTATTCTAGGTGTGGATGGGCTAGAAGGTGTAACCTCGTTCCCCCAATAGAGATCAGAGCCAGTTATACATACCCGAATTAATATGTAAGAGAATAGGCAAATACAGAATTTCAAAAGTTTTCCTTTATGAACACAGAAACTTATAATAAAGAGATCTATTTAACTTATATTTACTATACAAAATTAAGGTGATCAATGAAAATGAAACATTTAAATTTGTTTTTTTCCACATTAAAAAGGTTTTTTTCCTCTTTACAAAATGCCAACAAGTTGCAGGTAATGTTTATGGCAACATCCTACCTTATACTGTGCAAATTCTAGTTGTGGTTGAGGATAGTCTCCAAAAGATTCTTGAGTTATTCTTTGGACTCTCTCATTTTCTACCTTGTTTTCATGAATGATCCTTGAATCCACTGTAGGTGCAGGATTTTAAATTAAAACAGCCATTAGGAATATACTTCATCCTTATAGAATCCTCTTTATATTCCTAACTTTTCAAGCTATTCATATAACTTAAAATAATGTTGCCTGTTCCTTTTCTTGATTGTAATAAATTATTATGTAGGACACCTGGAAATTACAGGCTGATTAAAGAGAATTAAAATACCAGTAATTCTACCAACAAGAGATAAATACAGTTAATATTTTAGCCCAGCTCTTTTCACAATAAAAAGATTGTGTGTGTGTGGGTGTGTGTGTGTGTGTCTGTGTATTTTTTTGAAGCCGGGATTATAAAATACAGTTTTGCATTCTGCTTTTTTGCTAACATGAAATCAACAGCACTTCCTATGCCACTGGAAAGTTATAAACATGTTGGCTTGCAACAGCTATATTGTTTCTATTTATTACTAATTCACCATAGCGTAGGAGATGGGAAAGTAAGCAATTTTTAAAACTTCATATTACACCAGGCACTTTTGTGAACTTATTAGCTACATATTCTTTTCTGTCAGGTTTTCTAGGGAGACACAGGCCACCTAAAAGTATCAGTACAGTCACTACTCTGACGTTCTCAAACCAGTACTCTGGGATTGTGGGCTCACAGTCATTCAGGCCTGGGATTATGTCTGGCTCTGCCACTTCCTACCTATGTGCTTTGCCTGGAATTACTAAGATGTTCTGAAACCCAAGTTTCCCAATGAATAGCACTTGTTGATGGAACTACTGTGGAGACTGAGGAAATAATACAGATAAACATCTTGGTATTGTGCTGGACACAAAAGAAAAGCTCAACAACTATTAGTTAGCTGTTGTTTTTGTTATTAGATATCATTCTAGGAAATTCATAAGGAGACAAGTGGTAGCTTGCCTTTCTTCTTTTAACAAATATTTAATTTTCAGTTTTTCTGAAAGCAATAAATAGTTTTGAATCAGAATCTGAGTACATGTATCATTACCGAGTAACAAAAATCTGAAAAGGGAATAATGCACTTACAAATTTGTTTCATATGAAAACATACATACTATTTACATCTAGTCCCAGGCATCTTTCCTGTAGAGGTGTTGTAGAGTTGTGATTTTCAAAGGTCTAGAGGGAGGGGAGAAATAAAGAATATTTATCTAATTTTAAACCTTAAAGTACTGATATTAATTGGATTTAATATGTGAATGTATGCTAAATCTTTATTTTTTTTTTCAACAAAAGGACATCTGAGGCTACTTCCTGGCTGAGCTAAGCACTGCCCCTAATATAGGATGCTGGCAGATTATCTGGTGGGGCCTGCAGCTTGGCTGTCTTGTTTGAGGAACTCTGTAATTTGTGATCATAAAAGTGAATTTGGAAGAAGTACAGGTATGATCTGACTTGTTTCCATCTTTCTGTGTTTTGTTTTTTATTTCCCATATTACATTCCATTGTAATCTCAATTTTCAGTGTGAGTGCAGAAGCTAAGGAATCAGAGACACTGACGTTTTAGCTTTCCAACTCTCTTCATAACCCTAACAAATTTACCGAGATCCCATTTGTGAAAATAACTGTCCTACTGTGAGTCTGAATCTCTAGAAGCTCTTCTCCCATCTTTCCCTACCGAAGCCACTGTTTTTATAATTAATATTCGAATATGTGAATTTCCTTAGGAATCAAACTGTCATAACAGAACAATTGGTATCAATTTGGTGGGAAGAGGGGGGACAGCTGGGAGAGAAAATTCTACACTTCTTCACATTGGATTTTCTTCCTTAAAGAGAGACTTGCAGAGCCATCACTTCTTTCTACCAAGAACAGATGAGAACACACAAAGATAACATCTGTAAGGACTCAAAGACACTAGAGCATTGACCACCCCCCTACACACCAGCAAACATTTGCCACACACACAGGAAAATCCCAAAGCCTGTGAGTAGGGACAGATCCATCTTTGTCATTAAAGAACAACCACATATTTAAATAATTTTAACAAATAAATCAACGTGGGACTCGATAAATCCATGCTTTCCCTTTAATTTCAACCCATGTCACCTGCTTAACTGGTAAAACAAAAATTATGTTTCGATTTTGCATGAGAGTAATATATTTAGCTTCAAAAGACAGCATCAAGTTACTCTAAAGAGAAAATAAATTCTAATCAGAATGGCTGATTTGGAAACTGGGATCTAACAGACTCCAATGACAAATGAGTGACATAAAACATGATACAATAAATTTATACAATAAATAAAAAGATGATAGAAATTATTTTGTTTTTGTTCACGTTAACTAACTGAAAGTGTTCTCCATTTCATTAATTTATAAAGTGATCTGTTGCAGGTGGAATCCCATCTGCACATTGATTCTGTTTCTAATGTGATTCAACATTAAAAATGGAGTTGCTGATTGGCTTACCTGATCATACTGTTTAAAAACAATAGCCTTGAGAGAGTCCAGATGTCGGCTTCTCAGATCCATTTTCACAATCTGATGGTGTTTGCTAGCAACTGTCAGTGCCTTGGATTGAAAATGAGCAATGCTATTAGGATTACTGTTGCCGTGTTTATAATATTTGTCAAGGTTAAATATAGAGGCTACAATCAGTGAACTAAAAAGTGAAAAGAAATGGTCAGTTTAAACAAAAATGTGGTTACTGGCATTAAAGATTCTCATACGGGCAGGCAGTTTTAGAAACGTGATCCTATTTATCCTGTTCAGACTTAAAATGAAAAATACTCAAACGTTTTAGAATATTAGTCATCCAATGCTACAAGAGATTCTCATGCAAAAATAAAAATATTTTAGGAGAACCACTGAAGAAAAAGCTGTGTATTAAATGCAGTTTACAAGAGCTTCCTATCACTTGGAAAACAAGTTAGAAGACTGAAACAGAATTACTTGAATAAGGTAATTTACCTGGTCTAGAGGGTAGAGATAAGTTTGTCTTAAGATACACAGTAAGAATGAATATTATCCTTTTTTTAAGATATTTATTTTTTAGTTTTAGTTGGACACAATACCTTTATTTTTATATGGTGCTGAGGATTGAACCCAGGGTCTCGCATGAGCAAGGCGAGTGCTCTACCACTGAGCCACAACCCCGGCCCTGAACATTATCCTTTGGGGTGATATTTAAATTACTTGTAGCAGGGTGCACTCACCTGGCTGTAAGTGGATGATTGTCCACTATGTATCCTGAATGAAGAAACCCCAAATGTAAAGAAGTAGAATTAAGTGTTAGAGGGAATAAAAGCAAGCAGCTGTCCATCTGCTGTCCAATAAACCACCAAGGATCTTAAGTGACAGGCAATACACCCTGTATTGCCTACGGCTTTTGTGTTCCATGACAGTCTAGTGGGTAGTATTCCACTTTGCTCTGCCAGACTCAGGTGTACAAGGAGACGAAGCAGCCAGGATGATGGAGTTGCTGCCTTCCAACCAGATGAAGTGGGAGCTCTAGAACAATGGGAGGTGCTATGGTAGTTATGAATGCTAAAAGGGGCAGTAGCAGTTGCCAGGCCAATTTAGGGGTGGCTCATTTTGGGGAAAGATGTGAAAAACTCTGTAATATGCAATGCAGAACCACAAAGAGTGGGATGCTCTAGACAAAAGCTGCATCTTAGGTCACAGCAATCTTCTTGTGCACAAAATGTGGGGACAATGATTATGAATGTCAATAATGGTCCTTAGTAGACACATTGTACAATCAGAAAAAAAAATCACTGTATGTAACCATATGGAAATGTTCTGTTAAGTTAGAACACAAATTACAGAACCATATTTTGTAATAAACATCTTTTGAAACGAAACAGAAAACTAATAGGTTATTTTGGATGAATGGGAATTAAGGGGGTATTGAAGTTTTAAAGACTTTTTAGTGTTGATTGTATTTGTTTTTTACATTAAACATGTATTTCTTCTTTAATTCCAAACTAATACCTGATGCCACATTTCTACTTGTAGATAAAAATGCTTTTCTGCTCCTTATTTTAGAATGGAATTAAATGCAGTATTCTATATCAAATGCTTATTGAGTGGTTTAAATCCATACAGACTTTGAGGTGAGGATAATAGAAGGTTACAGCTAATAGTAATCTGTTCCATACCTGACCCAGAAGGGGCATAATGCTCTTCAGCCTGGAGGAGGTGAAGGCGTAGGGAGTCTGGGGGTAATGCACCACATATGTAGGTTTGTATTGGTTCGGCTTTGTACACTGTGTTCCCCAGGCAATTCGGATCCAGATTGCATTCTCCTCAGCATCTCTGAAGCTGATTGTCACCTTATTGAGAAAAGATTTCTTAAGTTTCTTGGTTAAATCTTATGTGGCACCAACTACAGATTTTTTTTAGGAGCAAATAATATTACTAATTTGGCATGCAGGTTGATACCAGGTACAGTGGTGCATGCCTGAAGTCCCAGTGATTTGGGAGGCTGAGGCAGGAGGATTAAATCAGAGGCCTGCCTCAGCCATTTGGTGAGATTGCCTTAAATCTGAAAAAGAGGCAGGGTATACATACCTACAGGTCAGTGGTAGAGTGCCTTTGGGTTCAATCCCCATTCCTGTGGGGGGGTGGATTTTTTTTTTTTTTTGAGGCCTGGTAATTTTTCTCCTACTATGAAAGTATTTTGGGAATCCTTGGGAAAACATTTTGATTGTTTTAGTAAGACACATTTATATTTTGCAAGGTCTTGTGGAAGAAAATATTTCTTAAAATCCTACAATAAGGATATGACATTTTAATTTTTTCCCTTCTTCCTTCCCTTGGTTTTGTGGTGCTGGGAACAGAATCCAGGGACTCATACATACCATGCAAGCTCTACAACTAAGCTTTATACCAGCCTGACATTGCAATTTTTCCATAATTTCTTGGCGTTGTCCCGAAAGTGGTGTTCCACATATAAAGGTTTATAAAGACAATTTTACAAATGAGATAGCACAGACCTAGTGCACACTATAAAGCTGGGTAGTAAGATTTCTATGTAGTAATGGCTCTTACACATTTAGCTCAGAAGCTAAAAAGTACTTAAGGAGGAATGTTAAATGACCAGAATATAGGAAGTTCTACTTGGTTTTCAGGTGTAGATAAATAAACTTGGAAATAAGATTACCAGCTGGACTGGAATTTAATAGCCTACTCCCAGTTCTTCAGCTTGCCCTAGTCAACTTCCCCTTGGGCTGAGCCTGGAAAGGAGGAACTCGAGACAGGTACACATGGCTTGCCTGCTCTGTTCCTCTCCTGCAGATCTTACTACAGGAAAAACAAATTGTTACATGGTGGCTGCTGGTGCTAGCAAACTCTGCCCCCTTGAATCTGGCTGCTTTCCCAAATCCCCTTGGTACAGGAGACAAGGAGTTCTCCCATCCTGGGTGTGGAGGTGCAAACCTTGGTTGGCTCCCTTGGCAGCTCAGTGGACCTCTGTCAGCTAGAATAGAAGGGGGTCTTAACTCTGGAGAGCTTCTTTGCTTCCCATTACAAAAGCAACAATGCCTGTAAAATCAAGGGTGCTCCAGAGTTGTGCTGACCAGTAACAGAGCCATTAGCCACACGTGGGATTATTTAAAGGAAATTCATTAAAGTTTCACAAGATGAAATGTTCAGTTGCTCAGCCATAGTAGCCATAGCCATATCTCGAGTGCCTAGCAGCTCTGTGTAGCTACTAGCTACTGTACTGGACAATGGTGACAGAGAAGATTTCATCACTGCAGTTCTTTTGGATGGCACTGCTCCAGAGAAAGAAGCATCAGGCTCTGAATGCACAGATGAGGGGAATTTAAAAACTACCTAAAGTGTTTACAGAGTAAAACATTGTGGAACATGACTAATTCAGTTTCTTACAAATAATAAAAAAAAAAAAAAACCCAAGACAGTAGCGGAGATGTCATTAAACTGAATTTTATGCTTACATTTTTTAATGCTCTCTGAAGAATTTTCTTAAATGAACGTTTGAATTGTTCCATGTCAAAAAGGTCAACATCTTCATCTATCAAAGTGAAAAGAAAAATTAAGGGAGTTACAATGTATTAAAAAAAAATATTTGCAAAGGACCCCAAAGTTAAGCATCTTGTGCAGACTCAGAGCAAGAATGATCAGATCACACAGGGGCTTCCACTATCCGTGACATGGCACCACCGGATGTTAAGTGTAGCAGTCTCCTCATTTCAAAAGAAAGCTAAGAGGACACACTGCTGTTCATCTTAAATTGTCAAGCTATCAAACCCAAATGTTCAATTTAAAGTAGAAAATATTACCTGGTTCTTTACTCATCTGAAAAACATCCCAAACTTTTTGGTGCCGATGTACTTGAGTATCTGAGAAAAGAAGGGCTTATTTATATTGTATCTTAGGACTTTGAAATAATGTGCTTATAAATACATATTTTCAATAATATAACTGAAGGAAAAAAATTGTAATTCACAAGTTGAGTGATTCTTATCCAAAATAAACTTTTATATGGATTAAATTTAATTTTTTTAAGAGAGAGAGAGAATTTTTAATATTTATTTTTCAGTTTTCGGTGGACTCAACATCTTTATTTTATTTTTATGTGGTGCTGAGGATCGAACCCAGTGCCCTGCGCATGCCAGGTGAGTGCATTACCCCTTGAGCCACATCCCCAGCCCCATTAAATTTAATTTAAACATAAACAAATCCTAATTATCAATTCAAACCAACCTAGATAATACAGTTCGGTTCCATCACTTATTCTTAGAGCATTTATTATACCCACACAAATCCACTCCACATAATGCAGAATTTCTCTGTGTGACAGAGGAACGGACTCACCCTGCCTTGTTCCTTCCAAGGCACTCATACTACCTGATATTACATATTCAGGCACTCATTTATATACTACTTGTCTACCCAGCTAGATTCTCATGGAAATGAGGGCCTCATTCACACTCTAGTCCTAGATCTAAGCGCTGGGGCAAAAAGCCTTCCGTGTGCATCTTGAGAAGGAAGGGATGAATGTGCCAAGGTAGTCTTTAGGAGTGCAAACTTGGGAAATAACCTAGAGAGTTAGCATGTTCAGCCCTAGACCACCCCTGCACTGACCTCCCTGTGTCAACCCAGACCAGGCTTCCTCCATCCCAAACAGAGGGGTGTGGGCACCAGCACTCCCGGGCCCCACCTTACAGTGCTTCTGGCACTTGCTTTTCTCCCCTTTTCTTGGGTTCAGCATCGATTCTCTTTTGGTGCCTGGATATCCCCTTGCCCGCCTTCCCCTCCCATTATGGCAATGGGCCTAACAATTCCCACTGATGACCTGCTTTTGACTAAAGCAAGGGTAAACAGGTACACTGTAGTGCCTGCTCAAGAGATAGCACCCTAAGGTCTTTTTTCTTCTAGTACACTCTTCCTTGGTCCTGTGGTTCACAATTGAGATGGTCTGCTAGTTGGTCTCTAAATAAGGTGGGTGTAATGATAGGAATAAAAATTATTTGTTAATGCTATTAATCAACAGTATCTAAAGGTTCATGAAATGAATGGCAAGGACTTAAATACAAAGAAAAATATTTCTTATTGAAAGAGAACACAGGCTAGACTAGTCCTTGGCTTCTGTGACAAATGTTATCCACCTGCGGGTGAAACTTCTAGGCTTCTCCTCTGGTCTCACAAGCAGACATATGTGCTTCCACTTGCTCCCCTCAGGCTGCCTGAAAGCCCCTTCAGTTTGAATCCTGGTATTCCTTGCCCCACCAAACCCTCTGTCACCTCCCTACCACTTCACCCAGGCCACAATCCTCTCATTTGTACCTCTCCAAAAGACTCCCACCGGCCCTCTCCATCCTCTCTAGTCTCTGTGCTGTAACTACTTCTTTCCTGCTCATAATCCTTCAAAGACTTTGAATTATTCTTAGGATACAGAATAGGCCAAAGGCCTCTCAATTTTTATTAACAGACTCCCCTCCCTGAACCCTTGAGCCCAGCTGGACCCCTCTCCTGTAGCACTGAGCTTTTACTACCCACCTTCTCTCTGCTCCTAGGTATACTTTCTCTTGTTTCTACCCTTTCCCCTCTTGCTCTTTAACCTCCCTTCTCACCTTTGCCTGGTTAGTGTAACTCATCCTTTGGATCACAGCTTAAATAGTGTTACCTCAGGAAGTTTCCCTAAACCCCTGCAGAACAGTGGGTCTCACTGTGCTCTCATAAACCTAGTATGTATTTTGGTGAATTGTTTAACCTCTCTCTTCAACTGACTAAGGCATCTAAGGAAGTGCCACCCGTTCTGCTGACCACTGCCTAGCATACTTCTTGGTACACAGTGAGTGCTTAATATTTAAATAAATGCACGAGAAAAGGGAACTATGTGGATACACATTTGTGGCTTAGAATCCAATGTTGGAAATGAGACAAATAAAATCAGAGGCAAGTACTCTAAATAGATTCAGTTATGTCACAGTTGGAGCAAAGTGTTAATAAAGATGACATATGATACACTTCCCTGTCATAGAACTAACCAGTAAATACCAGGCCCTGTTCTAAATACTTGTCGTGCACTCTCTTATTTGCAATCCTCACTACAACCTTATGTGATATTATCATTGCTATTCAGATTTGTCAAGTAGAAATACTGAGACACAGGAATGTTGGTCACTTCCCCCCACCCCCACCCCCACCCCCGTGCTCACAGAGACGCAGTGATGGAGCCATGAAACCAACCCAAGGAATATGGCCCTGTGGTCCACATTCTTGGCCCCACATTGATAAAAAGTCAAAACCAAAACCAAAAACATATTTCTCAAAACAAAATCCAAGAAATAGAAGGGCAGAAAGGTGAGAAGCTACAGTGTAATAACAAATTCTCAAAAATGCATTTTCAAATTCTACAATAATATAAAGCCCAACAAATATTTTTTGCTTATGATGTGCCAGTTTCTGTGCCAGGAACCCACACATTCTCACTGATTTCTCACAACAGTCCTTGAAGTAGGTACTACTCAGCTCCATTTACTTAGAAGTCGAGGTTTAGAGAAGTGATACAACTTGGAAAAGGGTACGAGACAAGTAAGTGGCAGAGCTAGGACTGGACACCAGGTTCCCTTGACTCTAGAATCTGCATCCATATGTACACAGTTGCCTCTGATAAAACTGGCTGAGTAAATACAAATCATCAAAACTTACAAATGATGTCTAGAAGGGCTGCATCGTTTATACTTGCACACTTCTCCTGGAAAAGAGGATAAACAGGAAATGAGATAGGCTTGGTGCTACCCTCTTAAAGCACACTTTAGGACAGGTTAGAACAGACTCAGCATGCCCTCCGCACTCCACTGACCACCTGTCTCTCATCCACTTTCTCCTGTTCACCAACAGACAAACCTGATTCTGGTTGTAGTCCAGGCACTTAACAGCTATTCTCCCAGAATTTATCCTCTATCACTTTTTAAAAAAATACATATTTTCAGTTGGAGATGGACACAATGCCTTTATTTTTATATATTTATTTTTATTTATTTAATATATTTATTTATATATTTATATATTTTTGTATATATATTTGTGTATATATATATATGTATATATTTGTATATAGTGCTGAGGATCGAACCCAGTGCCTTACACGTGCTGGGCAAGCGCTACAACTCTACCCGCTCCGTATCACTTTTAACTTTTTGTTCGTTTATTTTTGGTGTCATGGATTTTTAAAAATCAACTTCATTAAGGTATAATTAACATAACACTAAGCTGCACATATTTAAGCTTAAAATTTGTAAATTTGGACTTATGAATATACCCATAAAAATGTCATCACAATTTAGACAGAGAACACATCCACCAACCCCTGATATATATATATATATTTTTTTTTACTCCCCTTGCCCTTTTTCTTGGTGTCTTTTTTATCCTCCCCTTCCACCCTTCTCAGTCCTCACCTCTCACTCCCACTCCTGGTTAAGACCACCACTGATCTGCTTTGCCACCACACATCTGTTTGCATTTTCTGGAGTTCCATAAGGACTCCGGTTCTAACATGTCTGTACTCGTCTGTGTGTTACTGGGGATCGAGTCCAGTGGCTCCACCACTAGATTCCATGCCCAGCTCTGTTTATTCTTTGTCTCACTAAGTTGCCCATGCTAGTTTCAAACTTGTGATGCTCTTGCTCCAGCCTCCTGACTAGCTGGGATTACAGGTGTGTGCCACTGTGCCCAGCTTTGTCTGGCTGCTGTTATTCAGCATAATGATTTGATACCTAACCATATTTGTTCATCTATGAATGATTCATTTCTTTTTTACTGCTTAGTATTCTGCTGCATAGATTGATCATCATTTGTTCATCTATTTATCTGCTGATGGACATCTGAATTGTTTCCAGATTTTGGCTATTATGAACACTGCTATATAAGTGTATATATATTTGTGTGGACATGTTTTCATTTCTCTTGAGTAAATAAATGCCTAGGAGTGGAATGGCTGAATCCATGATATGCATTCACTTTAACTTTTAAAGAAATTTCCAAACTGATTTCCACGGTGGCTGTACCATTTGTACTCCCACCAGCAGTGTGACAGTTCTAGTTCCTCCACAAATCAGCTACCAATAGAAGTATGATCAACCTTAAACTCTAGCAATTCCAATATGTTGGGATATTTTAGGGTTTTAAATTTCATTTTTCTAAAGATTAATGACTTTGCACATCTTTTCATATGCTCATTTGCCATCCATGAGTCTTCATGGGACAGTATGTGTTGAATTAAATCTTTTGTCCATTTAAAAAATTGGGTCATTTTCTTATTATGGAGTCCTGAGAAATTTTTTATTCCTGCAGTGCTGGGGACTAAACCTAGGGCCTCATGGATGCGAGGAGAAGTACTCTAACACTGAGCTACACACCCAGCTGGAGTTTTTAGAATTTATTTATATGCTGTAGATACAGACTTTTATCAGATGATTTCAAAAATAGTTTCCACCAGTCTGTGGGCTTATCTTTAGTTCTTTTAACAATACTATTCAAAGAAAAAGTTATTAATTTGGGGAACATGTAGTCTGACAACTTTTTTTCTTTTTGAATTGTTTCTGCATTGTACCTAAGAAATCTTTGACTAGTCTAATGACACAAAGATTTTTCTCCTGTTTTCTACTACATGTTTTAAGATTTTTAGGTATTACGTTCAGGTTTTAGATCCATTTCGAAGTGTATATATATATTTATATACAAAAATATATATATAAAGAACTTCACTCCTTTTTCTTTTAAATATATGAATATCCAACTACTGCAGCACCATTTATTGAAAAGATTATCCCTTCCTCACAGAATTACTCTTTTTAAACTGATCAATAGTACTTTAATTAAAAGTTCTTGGCAATGTTTTAGTCTAAATTTTTCATAAACATAACTAGTAAAAGACATAAGTTAAACAACACCACTTTAGAAAAAATTTGCAAATTGTTAGACCAAGAATTAATTTGTTTTTATTCAGTTAGTAGGTCATATTACTAGATCCCGGTCTTTTTTTGTTGGGGGGGGGGGTTTGGAGAATCTTTTCAATGAAGTAATTGAGTCATGACACCACAATGAATGTATATATAGAATTGAGAGAGATTTAAAATACCATATAATTATTTCAGCTTTTAGATCACTAAAGTCAAGCTTTGCCTGCTGGTTATTAACCCTCATCCCAAATAATCATTTAATATATACTGTGCTTCATTGTACTGATGCTATTCAAGGCATAGATGTAAGATCTGTCCTTCGGATAGAATTACTCTTTGAATCTTTATAAAGAATCAGTTAACAACAACAACAAAAACAAGATGACCTAAGAGTAGAAGAGCATGGCTCAGGGACTGGGAAAAGGGGCTGGAGGTAGAGAGGGGAGAATGGGAGAGGGTAGAGGGAAGCATGGACAGGATAAAAAATGTGTGGACTTAAAGTCTGTCAGTCATCTTGAATTTGGGTAGTCTTAGCTCTCCAACTTTTATCTTTTTCTATTTTAGCTATGCTGGGTCTTTGGCTTTTACATACAGATTTCAGAATCAGCTTGACAATTTCTATAAAAATGCCTGCATAATTTTTTAAAAACATTTATTTTTTAGGTGTAGATGAACATAACACAATGCCTTTATTTTTTTAATAAGGTGCTGAGGATCGAACCCAGGTCCCGCCCATGCTAGGTGAGTGCTCTACCGCTGAGCCACAATCCCAGCCCCCCTGCATAATTTTGATTGGGATTCCAAGGGATTCTCAGAATAATCAGGGGAAAACTGACAACAATATCAAGTTTTCTGACTTACAGTCTTTATTTCATTTATTTAGGGCTTCTTTAATTTATTTTAGCAATATTTTGTAGGTTTGTTTCTATTCTTATTTGTAGGAATTGTTTCTATTCCTATACATCTTGTTAAATATTTCCCTAAATATTTCATACTTTTTGATGCTAACATAGATACACATGTATCTTTGAATTCTAGTATCCAACTATTATTACTGGTATAGAGAAATATAATTAATTTTTACATATTGATTAATTTTTATATACTGCTAAATCCATTAGATCTAATACCTTTTCATTTTTCATATTGTTGTTCTGTTTTCCAGCATCCTAAATTTTGTTGACATCTCTTATCTCCTGGGGTCTCCCTTTATTTCTGGCCTTGGAGAGTTATGCTTCAAAATAATAAATCTTTCTTAATGACTTGTAAATATTCTTTTTAAGTTTTAAAATCAGTTTCTTCAACTCTAAGGGAAGGAAGAAAGAAAGGAGCAGCATGCTGCTGTTCAAGCTGAGCCTTTTTTCCTGCAGGTCAGCCAAGTGCTATACGGTTAAGCTGCAGCTCCTGCCCTGAGTCTGATTTTTAAACACTGTTACCTCACACAGCCCAACCAAGTCCTGAACCAGACATTCCTTTCTCTGCCGGAAGTTTATGGTCTGAAGTTGGTTTTCAGATAAAAAATCCCAGGCTTTTAAGATTGTCATCATTTCATTCATGGGGATTTTCAAGATGGTCCTCCTGATAAATTCAGCAACAGTCTCATCCATCTCTTTGGCACTTCAACAAAACAGAAACAGAAAGAGCACAACAAAGTACCAATCAAATATTGAAGTTTAACTAAACCGTGAGTTTTTCAGTATCATATTTCTAGCTACGATTTTGCTTTAGAGCTCAAATATCCAAATGTTTTCCCCCTTTTAGCCACTCTGCAAACAAAGGATTTAACTTTTTTAAAAAAAGTATTTAAATATACCTTAGAGTTTTATAAAAATACATTTCTTCCCCACGGGTTCATATCCTGCAAGTTTGATCCCCAATGTAATAGTAATGAGAGTGGGTGAATCTTCAAGAGGTGGAGGCCTAATGTAAGGTACACTGGTCACTGGGCCAACATCTTCAGAAATGATGAATGTCTTCTCATGGCAACAGGTCAGGTCTCAGACTGGATGAGTTCCCTTGAGAGTGTGTTGTTCTAAAGTGAGTCTGGCTTTCCCCACTTGCTCTCTTGCTGCTTCTCTAGCCATCTGATCTCTCTTCTGTATGTGTTGCTTTCCTCTTAATACATGCTGCCATGAAGCCTTCCACATGCTCTGATGCAGCCAAGTAGCTCTCACCAGAGGCCACCCTATGGTGGACTTTCAATCTCTAAACTGTGAGCTAAACAAACCTCTCTATTTTATAAAGTAGGCAGTCTCAGATATTTTGTTATGGCAACACAAAAGAGACTAAGAAAGCACTATTGCTCCTTTCTTGGCTAGAGTACTCTGATCTTTTGATAGAAAGGATATGTAAATCATTCTTTCATTCACTGACTCATGTAACCCATTTCTGAGCACTGTATGGTAGGAATTTCTCAGTATTGGGATAGTTATATTTTTAGCCAGGAAAAAAAAACACCCATGGAATATCCATTCTACTGAGCACAGAGACAACAGGAAAATCACAAAATGTTAAAAGAGGAAAATTCTCTGAAGAAAATAGAACAGTGAGGTGTGAGTAAAGAGAAATTTAGGCCATATAGAGGTGATGACATTTGAGGCAATCCTTGGAGGACAGGGAGTGAGTCATGCAGTGGAAGAGCCTTCTAGGATGAGAGAAGAACAAATGCAAAAGTCTTGAGGCCTATGGACTTCAAGGAACAGTGTGGACAGAATTAGGACCATGAAAACAAGAGTCTAACTTGTTGACTTGTCTAGATAGAGGCCTCCATTAAGGTCAAGACTAGAATGTTCACCATGATCTCTAAGGTCCTGTATTGTCTGGTCCTTGCTTTCTTAGCTTTCTGAGTTCCAGCTACACTGGCCTCTTGATTCCTACAAGACAGAATGACCCCTCTGGTGATGTGCCATTGTACCTGCAATTATCCCTGCCCAGAAGATTCTTTTTGTATTCACTCATATTCATGGGATTTCCTGTTGTAAATCAGGTATGTTAGCTTCCTTCTGCTGTAACAAATACCTGAAATAAACAACTTATAAAAAGCAAAGATTCATTTTGGCTCACGGTTTCATTCCATGGGCTTGGCACGTGGCTCTGGACCTGGGACAGCACAGGACATCATGGAGTGTCTGCCAGAGATCTTTTCATCTCATGGAGGCTGGGAAGCAAATGGAGAGGGAGAGTGTCTGGATCCTAGTCCCCCAGTAAAGACACCCCCGCCAATGACCTAACTTGCTTTCAAGAGTTCCCACCCTCTTCTACCTCAGCCCAATTTCCTTGGAGTCCCCAGGCCTCAGCTCCTGAAGATTTCACCATCTGCCAACAGTGCCTTAGGCTGGCAACCAAGCCTTTAGCATGTGGACCTTTGGGGGACATCTGAGATCCATATCACAATATCAGGTCTCAGCTTGGATGGTTTATCCGAAGACTTGTTCTGAGGACCCAATCAAAATTATTTCCCCATTTCCATTGCTTATTGTCTTTACAGTACTATCTGAAATTAACCATATTGTTTTATTGTACCATGATATTTTATTATGCTCCAGGGCACTATGCCTGTTTATTCATAGCTATAACATTAAAATGCACAACAGCTTCTGCCCAATCAGTAATTCCAGTCAGTCCAAGAACCTTCTCACATGTACCGGATAAATACTTGTGGAACAAATAACTAGACACTATCCCTAAGCAACATGCCTGAGATACAACCTGGGAAGGATTTGGGTTCAACAGTTAGTGAAATATCAAACCAGCTTCCCCTATTAGGAACACTTGTGAGGGTTTTTAAAAATGAAGAGCCTGGGGTCCACTAAATAGAATTGGGGGAGGGCACATGTAAGTAAGGTTGGAGATTTACTATTTTTTAAGAAGCACATCAGATGATTCTTAATCTTAGGTCAATTTTGCAGAATGCCATTCTAAAGAAGTCTGGTAAAAAGATCACACAATCTCACCAGCAAAACGACCTTTAAAATTTGTCTACTTCCTAGTGCTTTTCGCACAGTGTTCGACATAGAGCAGGTACTTAAGGTGTATTTGTGGAATAAATAGATCAGAAAAAGATCCTAGGTAACATTCCTGTACACATGCACTGCTGCAGCAGAGCGCATACGTCTGAAACGAGAGATTGCGTGAACAAAACGACGGAAGCGAAGGGGAACTAAACACCAAAACAAAATCTCAACTCCAGGCACCTTAGAAATCCACAGCTGAACGCAGCGTCTTCCGCCACGTGACCTCAGCGCGGCTTGAAAGCAGATTTGCGCTTCACGCAAGGTCCCGCCCCACGGCGGGCGGAAGTGAGGTCACCCGCCGTCTTCTACCTCAGCCCAATCCAAAGGCCCCACCTCCTGCCCAAGACCCAGAGCCAAACCAGGGCCTTCGGACGTGCGGCAGTCGCAGAAAAGGCTCCCTGGAGGTCTGGGGTCTGGCTTATCCGAGGCTCTCACCACCCTCCGGCCCGATCTCAGGCCTCCAGGGCTGTCTTACCGATCCACATCTCCAGCAGTCCCCTCAGCAGCGGTACCCGCCGAGGCGCCTTCAAACCCACCAATGACAGTTCCCGCCGCCTGCAGGCTCCGCCCCTGGAGCTCACATTTTGTCCTGCGCCCGGGGCACGGAGGACCGCGAGGGCCGCGAGGGAAGTGAGGCTGGGTGAACTCGCGGCACATTCCCCAGGAGGAGAGGTTGTGAATATACGGGGGGCTCGGCCACAAAGCCCGCTTCCTTCACTGGTTGGCCGCACGGGCGCTGTAGTGCTGGTGGACACGCTGTCTTTCCCCCTTGGCGCCGCGGGATGGGCCCGTCCGGGCCGCCTTGCGCTTGCGCCCAGGCCGCGACGGAGGCGGGGCGGGTCGCGGCTGGGAGTTCGCTTCCTGCGGGACGGCTGTGCGAGCCCTGGGCACCCGGCCTTCGGGTCTCTGTAAGACTTGGCTTTCGGCCGCGAGTCGGTGAGTCCTGGGGGCGCGGGGGAAAGGTTCTGAGAACCGCGGCTGGGCCTCGCCGTGTCTGTGCGCGCGTGGAGGCCGTGACGCCCGCGTCGCTCGGGTGGCCTGCCCTTCGCGGTGCCTAGGTGGCTGAGCGAGGAGGACCCGGCGGAGCCACGGGCCGGGCAGTTCTCAGTGGTGGCTCAGGTGCTTCACGAGTGCTCTGCCCTCCGCGTGCGCTGGGGACATGCCGCCGCCCCAGGCAGCCCATGGGTGTCCTGCACTCCTGACCCTCGGCGTCCGCCCGTCCCTCGCGAGCCTGGTGACCTTGGCTGGCCCTCTGCTTCCGAGCCTCGGCCGCCGCGCCTGCATAATGGGTGTTGTCCACGCGTCGGTTTCCGAAGCGCAGTTTGAAAACGCGGGGAGCGCCTGGCAGGCTTCATTATTGCTGTCACTGGAGCCTTCTAGGGCGCCTTTTAGCTTCAGAGTTGCCCTAATCCGACTCACGATCCCCATCGTTGCACTTGTCCAGGAAAGTAGACGTTCTCACCTTTTGCGGGCTTTAAAGATGACCGTGCTGGTCTTCACAGGAGACGTCTTGGGTAGTCTTAAGGAAGCGGAGAACTTGGGAACCTTCAATGAATGTAAGTGTGCAGTAGCAAGGGCCCTCTGGTGCGGCACCCTTTCCCTAACATACAGGTCTTTGCACTTGTTCAGTTGGTTTAAAACGAGTCCTCAGTAGCTTTCCCTAATCATTTCTGTACTTGCTAGGTGCGAGGCCTGTATCTTTTTTGTGTGTTAGGGTGCGAATTATTTCTCAATCTCTGATAAACATAAATTCAGCATTCAACACACTCGTTGGTCATTTTCTGCATGTTTTTACAGGAGCATCCTGTCAGTCATCTCCGCACCTTCCACATGTATGGGTTAATGTTGTCTTTGAAATCTTCGTGACTTGGCAGAGGGCTTCGCACCTAGCAAGTACAGATAAATGATCAGGGAAAGCTACTGAGGCCCAGTCCTTGTGCAGTTATTTGGAGAAGTCATTGTTAAGTCCTCCCTAGTCAGCCTCCTGGTTGCTGTCAGTAGCAACAGGTCTCTACCCTAGGAGTGATGTAGTTCAGACTCGGTTGCTTTGCAGCAGTGATGAGGAGTGAGTAGGGTGGACACACTCATGCTGTTTTTGCTACCTCTGGTGCAGCATGGTTCATAGTTTGAAAAAGTTTTGAAAGTACTCATTTAATTAGTATCAGGACTTTATGAAATATAGGCTTTATAATAACCATTTTAGGAAACATTAAATATTGATATTTTTTTCTAGAGAACAGATCTTAAAGAGACCCTGAACAAGAGACTTTTCCGACCTTTTTTTTTCTTCTTATTTTAAAATAACATTAGAAATTTTAACTGTAGTATAAATTTATTTCTGGTACAGCCAAACCAGTAGCAAGGTATTTCCAAAGAAAAAAAAAAAACAGATGGCATTAAAATACAGGGTTTCCCCTGTGATTATAGATATTCCAAAGTCTGTTATTGGAATACTTATCCCTTTTCTTTGTATTGAAGTTCTTTATTTATTTTCTAGAATTGTGCCATCTTGTGGTTGAAATGTGCTCTCTCAGAATATTCATTAGGAACATTTTGCCTCACAGTTGTGGTAAATGAAGAGTAAATAAAATAAAATTTTAGTTTTTATATTTTTATTGAGAGTACCCTGAGAGTACCCTACTGCTTTCACCCTCCCAGCCAACCCTCAAGACAAAGTTAAAATTGCTTTATTAGGAGCTTTATTAGCCATATAGTAAAATACCAATGTTTCACAATGGAAAATTTTTGTTTCATTGAACTATCTTAGTATCCTTGTGTTCATACTTGAGGAAGCTGGAACGGAGAAGGAGGTGTAATTGTGACAAGTTTATCTTTCTGGTGACTTATAAAGATCAGTGTAAAGGTGGAACTGAAGTTTTGTGTTTATATACTTTCTTTTAGTTTGTAAGAAATACTTTGAGTTATAATAGTGTTACTAGAATAGACTTTTAAAAATGATTTCTGGTAAGATTGAAATTTTGTGTTTAATACAATTTGGATGGGATTTATTACCCTCATTGCAAACACTGTGCACAGGGTCTTATTACAATGAATGTTCCCTTCACTTTTGTTTCAACCGTGGTATTGATGTTCATATTTACTTTGACACTACCTTTCTTTTAAAAATATTTATTTTTTAGGTGTAGATGGATACAATTCCTTTATTTTTATGTGGTGCTGAGGATAGAACCCGGGTTCTACCGCTGAGCCACAATCCCAGCCCAACACTACCTTTTTGAAATTGTTTTCTGGTATGTGTGTGTGTGTGTGTGTGTGTGTGTGTGTGTGAGAGAGAGAGAGAGAGAGAGAGAGAGAGAGAGAGAGAGAGAGAGATGCTGGGTATTGAATCCAGGGTCTTGCACCGGCTAAGCACATACTCCTCCACTGAGCTACACCTCCAGTCCTTCTGGATTCTTAGTCATAGCAAGTGTTTATTCTTTGGATGTGCATTTTATTTTTGGAAGTGGCTTGAAATAAATTAATTGGGAACTTATATTTGAGAAGAAACTTAAGAATATGATGAAGAATATACCCTATAATGTCCTATGTTGATGTAGCCAGTCTCTTTTGGGCACATTACAACAGATAAAACACAGGTGCACATGGCCTGTTTTGTTGTTAGACTCCCATGAACGTGACATCTGCTTTTGTACTTTCACCCTTTGGTTCCAGTTTTATCTTCAGACACATCACAGAGTAGATTCAGGTCAGTCTTTCACACCATATGACTGAGAACTTCAGAGACACACATGCCATACTTACTGTTCACTATTTCAAACACACAAATTGTTTTAAACCTGTGAGATACAAGTCAAAAGTTAATTCCTTTTTATGGAAGAGGAGACAGATCTCAAATTAGTAACCAAAGTTATATAACCTAGGAAAGTCAAGTCCACAACTTTTGTCCTAAATAAATCTACACACATTTTCCTTCAAATCCAATGTCCTTTTTAATCTGACTGTTTCTTATTTGTATCTCCTCTCTGTTGTGGGCTTCTCTAAGTTGGTAAGTAGTCCCTGTTTCATCAGTGGTTTTCTGTTTTAATCTAGTGTCAGACCCATTTCTAACATGAACATCCCTCTCCATGCCTGGTCCTAGTAGGATTTGTCAGTATTCTGTGTAGGCTGACCAGTGACTAGTATAGTAATATTCTATTTCTTGATATTCATAAGCCCTCTATTAGTAATAATACAGGAAAGTACCATATTAACGTCTTTGGAATTTAGGCCTGGAATTAGTGCCTAGTAAACTAGGCCAACCAGAGGTTCTTTGAGAAGTTTTTTTCTTTATTATTTTAGTTGTAGATAGACACAATGCATTTATTTTTATTTATTTATTTCTATGTGGTGCTGAGGATCGAACCCAGTGCCTCACTCATGCTAGACAAGTGCTCTACCCCTTAGTTACAACCTAGCCTAAAACAGTTTTTTCCTGTCTGAATTTATTTCATGCTAAGAAGGTATGTCTTTACTATTTTGAACATGGGAAAAATCCGTCAGGATGAGAGGTGGGTAGTTAACTGTCACTTACTGTGTGACCTGGGACTTAATTTTTCTATGAAAATGTGGGTGATGCATGTTTTGACCTACAAAAAGATAGTTTCTTTAAGGTTCAGCTGAATTTAAAAGGGTATTATTCATTTTGTATGGTTGTTGGATCGTTAAGACTGTCTAGCACATTAATTCACCAAATTATTTTCTAAGCTAATAATGTTGATACCATCTTATGGTTTTGAAGAAATTTAAAAAATAAGAATATGGAGTATATATCTAGATTTTTCTTCAGTTCATTAAAAAATGCCTTGAATTCTGAGTGTTTAATTAGAGTAGGAAGACAACTACAGGAAGTATCAGCACTTGCTCATCTGTGTTCTGAGAGAACAGCACTGTTGTCACACTTATAGTCATACTTTGTATATTACACCCAAGAGAAACAGTAGTACATCTGTGTATGCACTGATGTTTGGGGAAAGCCAGGTGACATGGGTGCGTGGAAGAGAGCATAGCATAGGCTCAGGGTGGGTAGAGGGAAAGGGGCGGAAGCTATCTATCTGAAGAAAACATGGTGGAAAAAAGATGTGGTGGAGGAAAGAGGGAAATGATTTGTATTACAAGGAATTAGATAAGGGTGAGTGTTTAGAGCTTTAAGTAGTAATTCATACCAAGAAGAGTAGGAGAAGGAAGCAGAAACCATTTAATTTTTATGAAATAGTCATCTAGGATAAAAAATTAGAAGAATCCCATAAATAAAAGGATACAAATATTATTTGTCAATTAAAAATAAAATTTGGGCTGGAGATGTGGCTCAAGTGGTAGTGCGCTCGCCTGGCATGTGTGCGGCCCGGGTTGGATCCTCAGCACCACATACCAACAAAGATGTTGTGTCTGCCAAAAGCTAAAAAATAAATATTTTAAAAAATTCTCTCTGTCTCTCTCTCGCTCTCTCTCTCTTTAAAAAAATTTTTTAAAAACTAAAATACAATTTTAGGGCTGGGGTTGTGGCTCAGTGGTAGAGCGCTCGCCTCACACATGCGGGACCCTGGGTTCGATCCTCAGCACCACATAAAAATAAATAAGTGAAATAAAGGTATTGTGTCCAACTATAACTAAAAAATAAATATTTAAAAAAAAATTTAAAAAGGAAAAGGAGAGATTTCTTATTGGTTCCTTGGCTGGATTAACAGTAGCTTACATGTTTGAAATAAATTTTTGTTATGAAGAGAGGAGAATATATTTTATTCTATATTTTACATTGTGTTTTTACATACCAGTGTGTGTACTTGTGCTTATATACAGTGTGTATGTATATAGTATCTTAGCACCAAGTGTCTCCTCAAGTAAAAGATGCTCCTGGACTTTCATTGGGTTGTGTTCAGATAAACCTATCATAAGTTGAAAATGTAAGTAAAAATATGCATTTATCATACCTAGGCTTACATCATAGCTAGCCTAGCCTTTCTTAAGTATGCTCAGAATATTTACACTAGCCTCTAGTTGGGCAGAATCACTTAATACAAAGACTATTTTATAATCAAGTGTTGATTATTTCACGCACATACACAGATGGGTGTTTTGTAGACCTGATGGAATGTGAAAACCAAACACAACATCCAAAAAAGTGATGGCAACACAATAAGTACACTGTAGAGTATGTGGTTCCCCTTGTGATCATGTGGCTGGGAGTTATGCTACTGCCACTGCCATCATCAAGAGTGAGTGTCAGGGTATTGTGCTGCATACTGTTTGCTCCGGAGAAGAGCAATGAAGTACGGTTTCTGAAGTTATGGCCTTTGTACCATTGTAAGTCAAGAAATCAGTAAGAACAGTTGTAGGTAGGGGACCATCTATATTTACTTTGCCAATTAAAGAGGTTATTTCTGTACATCATAAGCTTGTTTCTGAACCGTACAGCCCTACATTTGAGGTCTAATTGATAGAACTGCACAAAAACATTATCAAATAAATTTACAGAATAAAATGTTAAAGACATTTTTTAGGTGGCTAAGCTAGTGTTTCTTTTTAGAGACAATGAGGTGGAAACCAGATAACTTATACATAAATGTAGGTACGTAATATTAGTACAATATTAGATGACTTACATTGTTGAACTACATACAATTTGATTCTCCTGAAACAATAAATTTCTGTTATAAGACTTTGTAATCAGTGCTAAGTAAACAAAATTTGAACTTGGCTGCCTTTCTGTTTTTCATTCAAATAAATTCTTAGCTGGGTGTAATAGCTTGATTCGTGACCTTCACCTGTGGTATGTTTGTGTGTGATAGAGAGTGTGTGTGTGTGTGTGTGTGTGTGTGTGTGTGTGTGTGGTCGTAATTACTGAATGAGATAGTGATCTACCGATAAAGTTCCAGTCTGAATTAGCTGTGCTGTAATCCTTTGAAATTGTTTGTTCAAATATTTTTGTTGTTGTTTTTGTATTTGTTGGGAGTAATGGGCATTTTGAATTTTTCAGAACTTATAAATTAACACATCTTTTTCTTTTCATTGTTCTTATTTTTTCCACATGTTTTGTATTGGTGTGTTATAATTATACATCATACACATTGGTACATGCTCCCCCTGATCCTTTTCCTCTATTGGTCTTTATCTTAGAGATTCATGAAATACCCCCCCACACACCCCTTTCTTTTCCTTTTTCCTCTTAAACATATGAGAGAAAACATGACCCTTGGCTTTCTGAGTTTGGCTTACTGTGTTTAACATAATACTTTCAAGTTTCATACATTCTTGAAACTTTTTTTTAAATATTTAAAAAAATATATTTACTTTTTAGTTGTAGTTAGACTCAATACCTTTATTTTATTTATTTATTTTCATGTGGTGCTGAGGAGCGAATCCAGGGTTTCACATGTGCTAGGCAAGTGTTCTACCACTGAGCCACAACCCCAGCCCAGAACTTTTTTTTTAAACAGCCTTTATTGAGGTATAATTTACTTTTCATAAAACTCGACCTTTGTAATATTTTAGTAGATTTGTAAAATTGTGCAACCATTGCCACAATCCAGTTTTAGAACACTTTCATTACTGGAAGAGATTCCCTTGTTCACAGTTACAAATTAATCATCACTCTCATCTGATTTGCTTTTTGTATCTGTAAATTTGCCTTTTATTTTTCTATACATTGTATATAAATGGACTGATGCAGTATATAGTCTCTTGCATCTGGCTATGGGCTGTTGAGGTCATCATTGCTAGAGCATGTATCAGTGGTTCATTTCTTCTAATTGCAAAATGGCATCCCATTATGTAGATATACCACATTTTGTTTATCCAATTCCCTGGACATCTGGATAGTTTCCAGTATTAGCTGTTATGAATAATACTGCTGTGAACATGCACATACATGCACATACATGTCTTTGGGTGGATTTATATTTTCATTTCTCCTGTGTGCAGTTTCTCCATATCCTAACCAATGCTTGGTATTGTCTGACTTTTTGATTACAGACGGTCCCTGACTTAATGATGGTTCGACTTATGAGCTTTCAACTTTACAATGATGTGCTAGCAATACATTTTCAGTAGAAACCATTCATCGAATTTTGAATTTCAATCTGTTCCCTGGCTGGCGATATGCGGTACAATACTCTCACTCAGTGGTGGGCAGCAGCTGCCAGCTATAGCTCCCAGACAGCCACGTGATCACAAGGGTAAACTTTGCAGTGTACTGTGTTGCCAACACTTTTTGGATTTTGTGTTTTGTATTTTTGCATCCCATCATGTCTACAAAACGCCCATCTGTGTCTCCTGCTTCTGGTGAAAAGAAGAGGAGGAAGGCAATTACTCTTGAGATGAAACTCAAAATAATTGCTCAGCATGAAGGTGGCAAGCCAGTAATGGTCATTGCACGGGAGTCAGGACTGTCACAGTCCACGATCTCAACCATCTTAAAGGATAAGAAACGAATCAGCGATGCAGTGAAATCATCAGCATCAGTTAAATCCACTGTCATTACAAAGAAAAGAGCCGGGCCAATTGATGATATGGAAAAATTACTTGTTGAGTGGATAGATGAGCAGATACGAAAGCGTGCACCACTTAGTCTCCTGATGATCCAGGCTAAGGCAAGAAGTCTTTTCAATATGCTGAAAGAACATGCTGATCCTACATACACACAGATGTTTACTGCAAGTCATGGGTGGTTCCAGCGCTTCAAAAGGCGTCATAATTTTCACACTGTGAAGGTCAGTGGTGAGGCAGCAAGTGCCGATATTGAATGTGCTGAAGCTTTTAAGGAAGAGCTGCATAGGATAATTGTGGATCAGAAATATTTACCAGAACAGATATTTAATGTTGATGAAACAAGCTTGTTCTGGAAGCGTCTGCCTGAGCATACATACGTTCCTCAGGAGTACAAGACAATACCAGGATTCAGAGACCATGTAACTGTGCTTTTGGGTGGAAATGTTTCAGGATTCAAATTAAAGCCTTTTCTCATCTACCACTCAGAGAACCCTAGAGCATTTAAGAATGTGAGCAAGCATACACTTCCTGTTTATTATCGCCATAATAAGAAAGCCTGGATGACTTCAGTGTTGTTTGAAGACTGGTTTTTGAACTGTTTTATTCCACAGGCAAGAGAATATTGTAGGCAAAACAATATCCCATTCAGGATTCTTCTGATCTTAGATGACGCTCCAGGGCATCCACAACATATTGGAGCCATGCATCCTGATGTAAAGGTGGTTTATTTGCCACTCAACACAACCACACTCATTCAACCAATGGACCAAGGTGCAATAGCTGCCTTCAAAGCACACTATTTACGCCAGACATTTGCTCAGGCTGTTGAAGCAACTGAATCTGGCCAAACACTCCAGGAATTTTGGAAAGGTTTTAACATTCTAAATGCTATCCAGAACATTGCTGCAGCATGGGAAGAAGTCACACAACAATGCATGAACTGCATTTGGAAGAAAGTTTTGAAGACATATGTGAACGCATTCAAAGGTTTTAACAAAGGCCCTGCTGTTGATGATGTGGTAAGTAACAACATATTAACTCTTGGGAAGCAATTAAAATTAGACATCCATGAAGACGATATTCATGAAATTGTCAGCATTAAAACTGAAGAGATTTCCAATGAGGAGCTAATTGAACCAGAGAAGGAAAGAAGTAAAGAAGTTAAAGCAGAGGAAGAAATTATATGGAAGGCACCAAGAAAGTTCACAGCAAAAAAACTTGCAGAGGCATTTGCTACTATCAGCAGCGGTATGCGGATGTTAGAAGAAATGGACAGCAATTATGAGAGATACGCAAGAGCTGACAGGCAGATTCAAGATGCTCTTGCTTGCTATAGAGAAATATATAATGAAGAAAAGAAACTGACTGTACAGTCAAAACTTGATCTCTTTCTGAAAAACACTATGCCTGCTAAACTGTCAACAAGTGTCAATGCCTCAGTGCCTTCCACCAGTTATTCTCAAGCCTTGTCAGAAGAGAGAGGAGTCAGTACTCTTGTTGCTGTAGCATCCACATCATCCAGCAGTTAATTTTAGTTCAATGCATCAAACATTCTTCAGGGCCAGTGTGTTTTCATCTGTGTACATTAATGGTGAGTACTGCATAACTACTCTGTTTCACACTTTCAGTGTACTGTTCCATAATTACAAGAGATATTCAATGCTTTATTTATAAAATAGGTTTTGTGTTAGATGATTTTGCCCAACTGTTCGTTAATGCAAGTTTTCTGAGCACATTTCAGACTGGCAAGGCAAAGCTACAATGTTCATTGGATTACTGTATTAAATGCATTTTTGACTCACAGTATATTTAGATTAAAATAGGTCTATCTGGGTATAACCCTGCTGTTGAGGAGCATCTGTGTAGCTGATAGGAGTAGTGATATCTCTTTGTAATTTTAATTTGCATTTTCCTAAAGACTAATGGGGTTGAGCATCTTTTCATGTGCTTAATTAATCATTCCTTTATTTTTTGTGATATATTCAAATTTTTGCCCATTTTTTTGCTTGCTGGTGGGTCTGTTTTACAAATTGGATTCTTGGTCTTACTAAATTATAAGCAGTTTTTTGTGTTCTAGTAACAAGAATACAAATACTTTATCATGTGATTTGCAAATATCTTCTGGTTTATAGTTTGTCTTTTAAAATAGATTTTCTATTTTAGAGTAGTGGTAAGTTCATAGCAAAGTTGAACCCAAAGTACAGACAGAGCTGCCATATATCTCCTTCCCCTATTCAAGCATAGCCGTCAACACCCTGAACCACACTGATACATTTATTATAGTTGATGATATTAACATGTCATTATTCTTCGTGGTGTTTTTTGAAGTGTGAAAGATTGTGGTTTTGATAATATGTGAATTTTTATTTTATGGTTTGTGCTTGTGGTATATCAGAACTTTTTGCTCAATCTAATGTTTAAATTTTCTCCTGTTTTCTTTTTCTTTTTGAAAAATTCTAATAATTGCCATCTTAACCATTTTTAAGCATATAGTTCATGCCAGGTGTAGTGAAGTTATGATCACAAATTCCAGGCCAGCCTGAGCAATTTAGACCCTGTTTTAAAAAAAAAAGGACTAGGAATATAGTTCAGTAGTAGAGTGTTTTTGGGTTCAGTCCTCAGCACCAGGAAAACAAAAGACATATTCATAATGTTGTTTGACTATCACCACCATCTATCTCTGTAACTCTCTCTTACCCATTAAACAGTAACTCCTAATTCTCCTCCCCCTGCTCCAGGTAAACACCATTCTATTTTCTTTCCTTTTTAAGGAAATAATATGAATTTAAATAGTATGAATTTTTTTCCTTTTTAAGGAAATAATATTCCATTATATGTATACCATATCATGCTTGTCTATTCATCTGTCTGTGGACACTTGGGTGACTTATTTTAACTGGGGAATAATGTGTTACATTGGTGTAATAGGACCCTGCTTCAGTTCTTTTGGATATGTATAAGCAGAAGTGGAATTGCTGGATCATATGGCAACTCTGTTTTTGATATTTGATCAGCCACCATACTGTTTTCTACTGTGCACTGTTTTACAGTCCCACAAACACTGCACAAGGCGTCTGTTTTCTCCGTGTCTCTAGTACTTCCTGTTTTCAGTGTAATAATTAATTTTCTGGACATAATTGCTCCACTTGAAAAAAAATTCATATATGCTTCTTATTCTACTTCATTGTCTAACCAGGTGTCTTAGCAGATGTTAAGAAGAAAGCAGTCTGTATTAATTCATACTAATAAGAGACTAACTAATAGTCCTTTAGCCTTCTCAGGAGAATAGGTGTTTTAAATGAATTTATAAACCAATTCTCTTAATAGGTGGAATTTCCGCTGAACAAAATGAGGAATAATCAATTTAAGGAATCTGAGGAAAATATTTGAAATCAGGCAAGCTGTTTTTGCTTGGGAGCTCTTATTTCCACTTATTTCTCTTTATGGTTCCTGCTTCTGGATGCAGGTTCTATTAAACACTCCTGAAATCATTAGATAAGGAAGCAGAGGCTGATATTTAATAGTTTGCCTAAAGTCTCACTGCTGGTTAATGGTTAACATTCTTTTCTGATGAAGGTCATTTGGGGTTCTTATTGAAATTTCTTTTAAGTGGTATTCACAAATGTATTCATCCATATTCAAGTCATTCTTATATTCACAGGTTGCACTGCTGTGATCATCACCTCCCAAAGATGCATCCTGACTTATCTTCGCACTTGCACACTGAAGAATGCAACATCTTGATTAACTTGCTTAAGGAATGTCACAAAAATGTAAGAGTGCAGAAAAATGACCATAAAATACAAAGAAACTTAGGTACAACACACTAATGTAAAATGTTATCTCCGTTAATGGAAAGAAATGATAATGTCTTAGTAGTGGATCTGAGCTTATGTTTTAAACATTAGCAAATGATGTAAAATTTTTCTTTTAAAGAAACCACCTCCTCTTATGATTAGTAAAAATAAAGCCATGATAGTTTGTTTAGAGAACTTCTGAAACAGTATGTAGTAGTTGGAAATTGTGTTCTTTCAGTGAAATATCTTTCCCATTCTTAATAATAGAACAGTTCAGCTCTGACTCTTCTGATCATGAAGGAGTTATTCTAAGATTATCTGTTTCTTAACGGCTACCACTCTGTTTTATGGTAATTGAAACATTTTATATAATTAGATGTTAGTTACATTTAATTTATGATCAGCCTAATCTGATGGATTTAATTGTTAGTGAAATGGAAGCAATTCAATGATTAGACCTAAATAGAGGGCTGGGGATTATAGTCCAGTGTTACAGTGCTTTGCCTAGGATGTATAAGGCCCTGGGTTCAATCCCCAGTACTGCAAAAAAAGAGGGAAAAAAAAGGAAGAAAAGAAACCCATACTTAGAATGCATTAAGTCAAGCTGACATTTTTATAGATATTGAATATTTAGCTTTTCCTCCTACATTTGATGCATGACATAGTTGTAGAAAATATTTGTGTTTTACTTCGCATGGTGAATTAGTTTCTTTTCTCATGATACTTATAAACTTTCAATGTATCTCATTTAATAATAATACTTAAATGAATAAAAATTAAAGACCAAAAGTCAGGTACTAAGAAATACTTAGCCTGTGAAGTCATATTTTTACTTGATGACAGTATACTTTAGGTAAACCATTTTCACCATACTTTTATTTATTTATTTTTATTTAGAGAGAGAGAGAGACTTTTTAAATATTTATTATTTTAATTTTCGGTGGACACAACATCTTTGTTTGTATGTGGTGCTGAGGATCGAATCCGGGCCGCATGCATGCCAGGCGAGTGCGCTACCTCTTGAGCCACATCCCCTTCACCATACTTTTAAATCAAGTCTCGGGGACTGCCCCACTATTCCTGAATTGACTCAGCTGATAATTGAGCTAGACTGCATAACTGAAACACAACTTCTGATTTTTTTTTTTATTTTTTGGTAGTAGGCATTGAACCCATGATGCTTTATCACTGAGCCACTTCCTCAGCCCTTTTGAATTTTTATTTTGAGACAGGCTCTCACTAAGTTGCTTAGGACTTCATTAAGTTGCTGAGGCTGACCTCAAAATTGCAGTCCTCTTGCTTTAGCATTCTGAATCACTGGGATTACAGGCATGGGCCACTGTACCTGGCACAACTTTTACTTTTTAAAAAACAGGAACTGATTATTTATATTGACTCAATACAGAATGTTTCAGCTCTGTATGTAGTGAGTTATAGTAAAAGGAAAACAGGGAGGGTCCACTACCAGAAAGAAGCTTTGGAGAGAAAGAGATTTTGTAGGGTAATATGTTAGTCTTATCCTTAATGATTTTGCCAATTTAACCTTTAGAAGTGTGTTGTGTTTTCATAACATTATGCATATGTGAAGAAATGCTGTTTTTTCATATTTACTTCCTAGGTTAACCAGATTAAGGGATTCAGTTTTTCAATCCTTAATTTTTAAGTATTCTTTGTTACATGTTATTTGCATACTGCTCTTTGGTCCATGATTTTTTTGCTGTTGTTGTTTAATTTTTATTTTTGTGGTTGTAGATGGACAGCATGCTTTTATTTCATTTGTTATGTGGTGCTAAGGGTGCAACCCAGTGCCTCACATGGGCTAGGCAAGCACTTTACCATTGAGCCACAACCCCAATGTTTTCGGTGGTGCTAGGGATTGAACCCAGGTCCTTGTGCATGTTAGACAAGCACTCTACCAACTGAGCTATACCCCTAGCCTGGTCCATGACTATTTAAATAGGAATCAAATATTACTTTTTTTTTATTTCAAAAGGATTTCTTATAATGAAGAGGATATTTCAGATCATTGGAACTAAAGATAGACTTTTGAAGAATTAACTTTTGAAGTATAATTTCATATAGTAAAACAGCTATTTAAGTGTACACTTTGATTTTTGACCAACATTTTTGACAACCAATTATTGTCACAGTTGAGGTAAACAACATTTCTTTCGTATTAGAGTTCCCTGTGTGGCTTTGCAGTCCCCATTTCTCACCTTGGCCCAGGTAACCCCTGAACTACTTTTTGTTAATGTAGATTAGTTTTGCTATTCTAGAATTTGTTATAAATGTACTCTACATTGTATGTTTTTATGTATTGTTCCATATTTTTTGAAGCTAATAGAGTTTGTTGGATATGTCATTAATTCATTCATTTTTATTTCTAAGTGGTATTCCATTGTATGAATTATGCCAGTTTACTTGCCTATTGATGGATATTTAGGTTGTTTGCAGTTATGTTGTTTTGAATAAAGCTGCTATGAACATTTGTATACAAGTATTTGTGTGGATATCTTTTTATTTCACTTGGGTAAATCCCTGGAAGTGGAATGACTAGGTGGTGTGGTAAGTAAGTGTTTATAAGAAACTGCCAGACTTTTCCATTCAGTACTATTTTATGTTTCTACCTGCACCCTATTTTCTTTTCTTTTTCTTTTTTTTTTTTTTTTGAGAGAGAGAGAGAGAGAATTTTAAAAAAATATTTATTTCCTTTAGTTTTCGGCGGACACAACATCTTTGTTTGTATGTGGTGCTGAGGATCGAACCCGGGCTGCCCGCGTGCCAGGCGAGCACGCTACCACTTGAGCCACATCCCCAGCCCCCTGCACCCTATTTTCACCAGCACTTAATATTGTAAAAATTTTTCACTCTCTCCAACCTGTGGGTATTATAGTAGTGTTTTCTGTTGGTTTTAGATTGTATTTCCCTGGTGGCTAGTGATTTTGAGCATCTTTTCATGTACTTATTGGCCATTCATATAAAATCTTTTGCCCATATTTAAAAATTTGTATTATGATTGATTGGGCATGTAAGGCCTTTAATAAGTTTATTGTAAATATTTTTTCCAGCACAGCGTTCATGTATATCTCACACCTACTATCTCCTATGAACACATTAGGAAGGTACGTTTGTTGTGGTTAATGAACTAATAGATACATGATCATTAATTAAAGTCGTGCTTCGTTCAGATTTCTCAGGTTAGGTGTTGTCCTGATTTCCTGTTACAGGATTTCCTCAGGACACCAGGTTGCATGCTTTTGTTGTAACTCCTCAAGACTACTCTTGGCTGTGGCAGTTTCTTTCTTTGTTTTTGATGACTTGATAATATTGAGGTTTACTGGTCAGGTATTTTAGGATGTTCCTTTATTTGAACGTGTCATATGTTTTCTCATGGTTATACTCATGGTGGTATGAGTTTGGGAGGAAAACCATAGAGGTCAAGTACCATATTCAGCACACATTGTGTTGAGGTTACACATGTGTGTGATTGAGCTCTTTTGATGTTGATTGGAGTGGCCTTATTAAGTAGTATTTGTCCGACTTCTTTCCCTTAAAGTTACTGTTTCCCACCTTCCATAACTCCAGAAGGAATTCACTGTGCACAGCCTATATTGAGGGACTGGAAGTTAGGCCCTTTCCTCTTTGAAGGTGGAGTGTCCACATAGATAATTTATTAGAGTTCTGGAGACCTGGTGTCTTCTCCCATTTATTTATTTACATCAGTGTGGACTTATGCATATTTGTTTTATACATTGTGTTATAATCCAGTACTTCATTTTTGCTCACATTGTTTCAGTTGGGAGTCTTTCAGTTGGGTCTTGGACTCTAAAACATAAAAATTTCTATGAACTGACAAGAAATGTCTTCCAGGATTCTTTGAAGAAAATTGAAGTGAGAGAGTGTTTACAGTATTCTAGCATTTCTTTAGAAAAGGAGAAAGCAAAACTACAGTATTCTAGCATTTCTTTAGAAAAGGAGAAAGCAAAACCACTTGGATCTCTTGTGTGCAAAAAGACAAAATACACCTGAAATTAATGAGATTCATTACCTTCTGGGGGACAGGTGGGAGCAAGGTCAAGAGAATGGGGAAATGAAATTTCTGATGGCATCTCTTACATAATTTTTGCCTTTTTAATCTTTAATGTTTTACATGCTAAGTTTTAAAAGGGTGAGAAAGGATGGGAAGAAAAACAAAAACTGGAATACAAATAACAAGTGAACCTAGCTTTTTGAAATGAGTTATCTAATCAAGGAATAAATGAACTGACCCAAGTAATTTGAATATAGGCTATAGTCTGAAAGAGCTGTTGTTGGTAGAGTTTGGGTTTTGTAGTGTATGGATCAGCAGTTCTGAAATTGGCTGCTGTGTATTTCAGGGTTGAGCAGTAAGGAAATACTGCAGATAATAGGAGACAGATTTTTCACAAACTCATGCCCATTTTTTCACCACCTTGGTTAAGCCAGCATCATCACCCCAAAGCTCTCTGTGCTCCCTGCAAATCACACCCCAAGAAGGATAACTAGCCATTTTAAGTCCTTATAATAGAGTTCATTTCTACCTGGGTTTATACTTGATGTAAGTGGAAATGTACCATATGTGGATACTTTCGTGGTTTACTGTTTATTAAAAGCTCGAAATTCTACCTGTTTCCTGCATTGTCCAGGAATATTAGACACATGTTAAACAAATGAAATTTCAGTTTAATCACTGGAATGAATGGATAAAGTTGTCTTAAGATGTCTTCCAGCCCTGAATTTGTAATTCTGCAGTTTAATCTCTTTGTTGACTAAACCATCATTTCGCATGCTCCTTTCTGTACTGGAATTCTACAGCTCTCTCCAGTCCTTGAAGTGCAGGGCTGTTTTTTATCTCCACATGATCCTAACTTGCTGTGCTTTTATCATTCTTCCTGTGTTTTATGGTTCTTCTATGGTCTTCGAAGCCAAATGTCATTTCCTTAGCCGTCAGTATCTACAGGCTGCTTCTGATCTACTGGCCTGTTTTGCCTACGTTTGTCAGCAAGACATAGGTTATCTACAGTTAAAATACAGAATTTAGAAGAGCTGTTTTCTTCAAAGCTATGTGGAACCCTTTAATGTTATTTTTTCTGATTTATAAAAGTAACGTGTAAGTAATACATGTCTTTGGAAATAGTGTTTAAAAAAGCCTAAGAAAGTGCAAAGCAAATAATTTTTCTCTACCACCCAAAAATCAGCTCATTAACAATTGGCTTTATCTTTTTTTTTTTTTTTTTTTAAATTTGGTCTTCTGTTAGGGTGTTCAAATGCCCACATCTTTTCCATCCTGAGAAAATGAATACATAAAATCCCTTTGTAATCCCAGTTGTCTGGTAGCCTTCATTGCTTTTGTTGGTGTGAGCTATTAAAATAATATTTTCTCTTGTGCTGGGGCTGGGGCTTACCTAGCATGTGTGAGGCCCTGGGTTCGATCCTCAGCACCACATAAGAATAAATAAAATAAAGATATTGTGTCCAACTACAATAAATAAATAAATAAATAAATATTTAAAAAATAATAATGTTTTTTCTTCAGTTTGGCTTCTGCCTTCACTACGGTGCTAGGGTCACTAGTGACTGCACTGTTGTTAGTTTCATGGGGCCTTTCAGTTGTTTCCTCACTCTTCCAGGCTGGTTTGCTTCCTTATCAAAACGTGCTTCTCCAGGCTTGTACCGTACTTCTATCTTCTGTGGTCTTCCTTCTGTTTCTTTGGCCACTTTTCTGTCTCCCTGGCAGTCTCCCCTCTATTCTTGCCCTGTTTTTCTCCTATACTATACCTCCTGGAAAAATTCATTCACTCCCATCATCTCAGAGACTAATATCTCTAGCTCAGATTTTTTTTCCCCCTGAATTACATGTCTTTTTATCTCGACTCTAGTGGACTTAAATGTTGTGCAAATAAACTCAATAATGTCCAAACCCAAGCTCATCTTACCTCTTATTTAAAATCTCTTTCTGTCTTCATGACATTTCCTTGTCCAAGCCAGAAGCCAGTGTCATCTTTAATTTGTCCATCAGCCTCATCTATCATGTGAACTTACCAGGTGTTGCCCAATTCTTGAATCATTGTTTTCTATTGCCCATGCCACCAACATAATCCATGACAGCAGTGTCTGATTAGGATTTTTATCTGGTCTCCTGTTTTTCATCTCTTTTACTTTTCATGCTGCATCTGGAGTGATTTTTCAAAAATAAGTTTATTGCTCTCCTTAAATGCCTCCCTTTGCCTGAGAATTTTTTTGTTTTTGAGCTTTAGTCTTCATAAAACCCATCGATAGGTAACTCTTGGAATCTACCTCTCTCCCATGACTTCTCCCCACCTTCCTAGTGTTTTCTTTATGTGCTGGAGAATATTATTTCCTCTAAACCTTTATACTTGCCTTTGCTCACCTTAGAGCATTCTCACTGTCTCTGCTTAACCATTTCCTGAGCCAGGTTTTATCATTCTCCAGGTTTTCTTCAGCTTGGTTGGGCCATTTCCCCTCTGTTTTCTCCTTTCCTGGCCTAGGTTATCGTGCCACAGTCACTATACTCTATGCACATTCATAAAGCATCTCCTGCTTCATGGCAATTCTTTGGGTTTCAGGACTCCTTTACATTCTTGAACATTACTGGGGCCTCCAATGAGCTTTTTACTTAGGTGGGTAATACCTATCAGTATTTACTGAATTATAAATTAAAGTTGATAAATTTAAAAATTATTTAAAAATAGACTATTTCACATTAGCACTAATTTTCATACAAATTTTATTATTCAATGAAAGAAAGTGAAAAGGATGACATTGCATGTGCATTTTTAACCATTCTCTTATGTCTGTATTAATAAAATACAGCTGGCTTCTCCTATTTGCCTGTATGTTCAATCTCTTGTGACAGACTTCATGGAGCCCAGGGAAAAGTTCTGTATCCTTGTGAGAAGTTGAAAATAAAGGAAAAAAGAAGGTCCTAGAATCATTAGGAAAATAGTTTTGTACTTGTACATCTCCAGAAAAGGTCTTGCAAGTTCCTCAGTGTCCCTGGACTAGACTACTATTTTATGGCAGTTGCTTCATTTTTTTCTTCCCTCTTCCTGTGTGCTGAGATGGGGCGAAGAACATTCTTGCTCAGTGTCTGGGACATAGTTCTCCACGTTGAAGGTTCTCAGTTGTCTCCTGATTGACTCACTTATTCAATGATCAGTTGGTTTGGATCTCTAGAAGTAGATACCAGGCACCAGAAACAGTTGCCCTGTGTGTACAATAGAATTGCAGTCCACAGGCATTTTTGTACCAGTTTCAATGGGGGCATTGGGCTTAACCTTTTTCACATGATGTCACAAGAGTATAATTTCTTCTTTGGGCTTAATGTTGAGGTGAAAGGAAGCATATTAGTGCTTGTATGTGGATGATATGAACAAATGTGCACTAAACTGAAATATTATCTTGCATTCTATGTGTCTAATTTTTTTTGCTACATGTTTATTATTAGAAGGGGTGAAAATGCATTGTCTCTGTTTATTTGTTGCCAAAGAAGTAGTTTGAGAAAATACACAGGAAATATTTATTCTGAAAAGGCCATTAGGTAACAAATAGGAGGTGTTATACTATCTTTAAAGGTTTGCCAGAAAGAATCTTGACCATTTATTCAGTGTGGACCTGAAAAATGCTTATAAAGTGGCAGTGAGGAGAAAAAAGAAAGAGAAGTAGGCATAGCTTGCTAATTATGTGCTGTCTGGTTTCCATGAAAGCCATAATTAGAAAGAGAAGGGGGAAATGTGCTTACTACAAACACAAGTTCAGCATTTACGGCCTGTCATTACAGCAGATGGCTGTGCTATCTGACCCACCCTTAAAAGTTGTGATGTGTAAACACTAATTATGGTCCTTCCTCTTAGCCTGCTTTACAGCACTGCTACTTTTTGCCTTCAGTCATAGGATTTGAAACCGGGAGGAATTTTTTGTTGTTGTTTTATAATAAAAGGAAATCTAAGCAGACTTAGATTTCCTTTTATTATAAACTAGTGGCTTATTTGAATGGCTTATACTGTGGGTCGTGTAATGATAGTGTGTGTCTCTGATGTATTTTGGTGACATTTTGAATGGAGGCAAACGAGGAAATGCTCTGGCACTAAGCATTTTATTAAATAATTACTCTTAAGGGACAGAGTGCTTGCTAGTGAAGTCACTACTTATTTCACTGTAGGCACACTGCAGCTTGACAGCAGTCCCTGTCTTAGAGAATGGATTGCTCTGAGCTTTTAACGTGTCCCTTCAGGAAAGGGGTATGAGGTGTTAAGCTTTGACACTCTGTGTGAGGTTTTGATGGGCTAGGAGACTTTTCTGTTATCTAGGTAAAGACCTTTGTTTCATTCCACCTATGGAGCATTTTTTTCTTCTAGGTAGCAAGGACCAGGATAAGACTGTTTATATATTTGGTACATTTAACTATTATTTATTTGCTTCTTTACAAAGAAACACAGTAAATTCAATTCCATAAGAATTAAATTCTGTGTGCCAGAGACCTTGGCATATTATGGGATGAATATTTTACCCCTTTTCTTCCTTTTAGCACAACATTCTGAAATTTTTTGGTCATTGCAACGCTCTTGATCGGGAGATGAGAAAATGCTTGAAGAATGAGGTAAGAAGAATGTCAAAGGCTGGAGGTACTTGAATAACAGAACATGTAAAATATTATGTGTTGTTAACATTATTAAAATGTCCTTCAGTTTTGGCCTAACAGAACATTTGTATGTATGACCACTCATTGAAAACCCAGAAGAAAAATGAAAGCCTGCTTTGGGGATGGTTTAGAACACTGCTGTCTTTTTGATAAATACACACACACACACACACACATGAAAACTTTGTTTTCCTGGAGAATTCAAGTTGGATCAATTTTAAGATTTAAGAAAGTTGAGTCTCTGATCAGACTTAGTTGCATCAATCAATTAGCCCTTGATCAGCAGATGACTGAACTCTCTGGGCCTGTTTCCTTACATTAAGGAAACAACTGTAAAGTCCTGAATTTCTTCATAGTTATGCTGTAGAAGTCAAAGGGCTCTTATTGGACTTTTTTGGGAAGGTGTCATCTTAAGTTAACTTAGTTAACTTACATTTAAGTTATGACTTGGCTTTGGGCAAATAGCCAAAATACCTAATTTGTTGTCTATTTCCTGGAACTACTAACCAAGCAGAGGGCATTTTAAACCTTTAAAAATTTAATTCCATCTGTAGTCTGCATTTCAGGTTTTTATGTTCAAAACCTTTAAAAACATGTAATGACTAAAAATATATGTGTATGTATACATACATAATTATGAATATGTGTACATATACACACATAATATCGACAAAAAATCTGTTCCAATTTTCATTTTCTGTATTTCAAACTTATTTTCTTTTTTCATCTAGTCTCAGATGGAAAGGTTGAAATGTTTGAAACTGCCCAGCATTTATCTTTTTTCTTTTTGCATATTTTCTACTCTGGGTTTTTTGTTTGTTTGTTTGTATTGGTTTTGCTTCTTAAAATCTCTGTTTCAAGCTGGGCCCCGTGGTACAGGCCCATAATACCAGCAGCTTGGGAGGCCGAGGTAGGAGGATCGCAAATTCAAGACCAGCCTCAGCAACTTAGCAAGGCCCTAAGCAATTTAGGAGACCCTGTCTCCAAATAAAATATAAAAAAGGGCTGGGCATGTGGCTCAGTGGTAGAGCATCCCTAAGTTCAACCCCAGGTCCAACAAAAAGAAAAAAGAATCCCTGTTTCAGTGTGACATTATCATTACTATTTGAAGAACTTCCTGGAATTCTGTATTAAGGGTGATAATTTTCTTTGTGTGCACAAATATATATATTAGTGTTTTAAAATGATTGTTTCCCTTTGTAGTGGGGATCAAACCCACGGCCTTGCACATGCTAGACAAGTGCTATGCCACTGAGCTACAGTCCTACCAGCCCCAATGCCCCCCCCCCCTTTTGAGACAAGGTCTAACTAAGTCACCTGCACTGACCTTGAACTTGTATTTCTCATGCCTCAGTCTCCTGAGTAGCTAGAATTAGAGGTGTGTGTGACCACAACTGGCTTTTAAAATAATTGTTTTGGAAAGATGTTTTCCTTCATATATAAAAGCTAGTTCGTATGGAAACGAAATCTAGGACTAACTTAATAATAAACTTATGATCAACCCATACTATTTTATTGATATAGCTGGTGTGGTTGTGGTGTTTTTACATGCTTTCAATTGTATGGCTTTTTCCTATGTTTAAATTTTTTTCTTCCAAATAGTTTAATAATTTTGCTGTGGTGATTAGAACTTGATACGAATTTTCTTTTCTTTTTTTTTTTTTTTTTTTAAAGAGAGAGTGAGAGAGAGGGGGGGACAGAGAGAGAGAGAGAGAGAGAGAGAATTTTTTTTTTTTTTTTATTTTTTTTTAAAGAGAGAGTGAGAGAGAGAGAGAGAGAATATTTAATATTTATTTTTTAGTTCTCGGCGGACACAACATCTTTGTTGGTATGTGGTGCTGAGGATCGAACCCGGGCCGCACGCATGTCAGGCAAGCGCGCTACCACTTGAGCCACATCCCCAGCCCCGAGAGAGAGAATTTTAACATTTATTTTTTCTTAGTTCTCGGCAAACACAACATCTTTGTTGGTATGTGGTGCTGCTGAGGATCGAACCCGGGCCGCACGCATGCTAGGCGAGCGTGCTACTGCTTGAGCCACATCCCCAGCCCCTTGATACGAATTTTCCCCCCTTGTTGATCCTGAGCTCTGTCAGTGACTATTTGATAAAATGTTGTAGATATTTTGTATTTTCTTTTTCTTTTGGGTGGAAAAGGATTAAACAGGATTTAATCCTGTACCAGGATTAAACAACTCAGGGGCACTCAACCACTGAGCCACATCCCCAGCCCTATTTTGTATTTTATTTAAAGATAGAGTCTCACTGAGTTGCTCCTTCCTTTTGCTGAGGCTTGCTTTGAACTCATGATCCTCCTGCCTTAGCCTCCCTAGCCGCTGGATTACAAGTGTGTGCCACTGTGCCTGGCTTTGTGTTTCCTTTTTTTACTCCCATCTGCTACTTTATTTATTTCTGGTGTTGAGGATTGAACTTATGCCTCACTCCTGCTAGGTGAACACTCTACCACTGAGCTACAACCCCAGCCCCATATTGTTTTTTCATGTAGCTTTCATGACTTATTTTCTAAGTCTTCTATGTACTTTCTTAAAAATTATTTTTTATTTTTATTATTATTATTTTTTTAGTTACAGGTGGATACAATAATCTTTATGTATTTATTTATTTTTTACGTGATGCTAAGGATCGAACCCAGTGCCTCACACGTGCTAGGCGAGTGCTTGCTGAGTCACAACCCCATGCCCTTCTGTGTTCCTTTATATTGCTTCATTACCTACTTTATAAGTGCTTTTCTGTCTGGCCTTTCATACTCTAATCCTCTGAAACTATGGTCTTTTATTTCCTCTCTACTTAAATGCTAACTTCAGATGCTTTCCTCCTACCTTTCCTTTCATGAGTCATGGAAATACTTCATTCCATGAAGCTTTTAGCTAGAAAAAGGGTTGGGTGTTTCTTTCTGGGCCTCTCTCTGCTGTTTTCTTACTGTTTTTGTTTTTTCTATTGAAATAATCACTGATATTACTTTTGCATCATCATCTTTGCTCTGCGTAATTGTTTTGTTTTTTGGGGGTTATCCTGTTTGTATCATTTGATGGGGCTTTGTAAATGATTAAATGACTTCATAGTCATTTCTTTTAATTCTATGGAGATATCTCAAACATATATTTTAATATAATTTGCTCTGTAACACATTTAGTGGGCCTATGACAAACTACTGTTCTGAAGACTTACCTACCCTTAAGAACCTCCTTCTGTCTTGATTGCCAGAGACAATCCAGTATCAAGTTCTATGCTTAGAGTCTGTAATTCCATGTTTATTTTTGGTTGGCTCCTCCCAATAACCTTATGAGGAAATTTAATGTTTGACAGATGAAAAGAATGATTTTTGTTGAAATGACTGTGACTCTGTGATTCATCTATAATTTGATTTAGCCTTTTGATGAGGAAGGCAAAAATTATCATTCAAAAAGATTTGTAGAATCCTTCAATGAAAATCTTTGATGGAGAAAAATTCTTAAAGATTTTCTAGCCCAGCTCCTTATATTTGAGATTACTGGCCCAGAAAAGTGAAGTAACTCTTCATGAATCCTCATATTTTAAAAACTGTTCAAGAGTAGGGGAAGGGTTCCAGTCAAGTCCTTGATTAACTTTGTCACTAATCTTTAGTTTCTGTGGCCTCTGTTTCCATATCTCTGGCTCCTAGAAGATTTTGATGTTCAACTATTCACATATACTCACATTTTTTTTTTCCTGTTTGAATTTACTTTAACTTTTCCTCTTCTGCCCAGGGGGAAATATTGATTCTCCTTTAAAATATGTTTATATTTCTGTATATGTTGTAAGCATTAAATATACACATATAAAACACTATATTCAGATTTTTGTGTTCTAAACATAGGTTAATAACCATTCATTTGAGAAAATCTTTAAGTGCCTGGCTCTGTGTTTTCTGTTATTCATAACAGTACTAGCATGGAAATGTTCAAGGTGAAAATTGCATTTTAATCCAGGTTGGTTATGGAAATTTAGGATTTAGGGAGAATCAAGTTTGATGATTGATTGTTCATGATGAAGAACCTTAGGAAGTTCAGCTGGGTATAAATTTCCATATGAGTCTATAGGATAATGTGGCTGCTAAGAGCCATTGATTCTTAGTAATACTTAGAGAAATGTACTGTATGACTAGGACATAAGAGCTAGGTTCATTATACCATGTCTGTCAGACTTTGTCTAGTAGGATATTGTGTTTAATTCTAGTGATTTTTAAATATAAAAGTTAGTTGATGTTATAGTGGGGTATAAAATAAAAGTCATTTTACAGATGTTAGAAGATAGAAGCAATGTGCTGTGGAACAGTTGTAGAAACCCATGCTGTTCAGCCTGAAGAAGAGGAGTGGGTCATAATTCATCAGTTATTTGAATATAGCAGGCAAGAAGAAACAGACAACAGGAGAGATTACAGGGATATACGTTTTGGTTCAATATGAAAACTTTGAATCAAGTAGAACTGTCCAACAGTTAAACAGGCCACCTCTCAAGGTGGTGTGCCCCTCTTAACTAGATGTGTTTAGCAGAGTTGGAGGACTTCCTGGACGGTGAACTCTTGGAGAACAGGGACAGAACTCATCCATCTGAAATATTGAATATTGAATTCTTATTTTGGGAGGCAATCGATTCAGCAACTATTATGTACCTGTTAGGATGTAAGTGCTACCCTGTATTGAATGAGTGTTGTACTAAATGTCTCAGATTCAGTAAAATAAAAAAAAAATACAATTAAAAAAATTTTTAGTAATAGCATTATTTGGCTTATCTGGCATAAAAGGTGACATCATCTCCCATCTCTTCTCTCCCTTTTTCTTTCCAGTACATGGAAAAGAGGACCAGGAGCAGGGAGCATGGCAATGCAATGCGAAAAAGACTTTTCAGTCCTCTGGAGGAATCAGAAAAATAATTTACATTTTTACGGGATATCTTGGCTGAGAGAAGACCTGAGGACTGTTGATTGATAGCCAAAAGAATCTTATCTCATTTGTTGTCCAGAATCTTTGAACAGAGAGTGATCATTGAAGAGTCAAACCATGGAGAAATATGAAAAACTAGATTCTGAGCATTTGAGCAGAGCCTTCAGTACTATCAACTCCCCAACAAGCCCGACTTCCTCCATGTTTTTGCTCTTTGTTGATATCCGTGTAGTGTTTGAATAACCTATCTCCTTCAATAAAGTAATTAAAATAATTTTTTTCTCCTTTCTTTTAGACTTTACTAGAATTAGCGCAAAATGGTGCCAAGAGACTTCCCTTTAAAGCAATATGGCAATGGTGAAGAATAAACATTGATGACATAACCTGGGGCAAGAAGAATTCTGGGAAAATCCCAGCTGTGTTAACTATACGGAAACATTCCAATTTTATTGTTTTTGAACAGTAATTTTCTGGGGGATGTGGCTCAGTAAAGAGCCCTTGTCTTATATGTGCGAGGCCCTGAGTTCAATCCTTGGTACTGAAAAAAAGTCATTTTATGAAAATGTTCATAGTTGACCCCTCTGATGATAGATTGAAAATATTTGAAAAAGTTGCATCAGTATTGAACATGTACAGACTATTTTCCTATCTTTTTGTAAACAATACAGTATAATAGCTATTTATATAGCATTTACATTTCATTCATAATGTAAGTAATCTAGAGATGATTTAAAGTATACAGGAGGATGCATGTAGGTTCTATGTAAACGCTATGCCATGAAAGGACTGGAACATCTGTGGCTTTGGGTATCCAAAGGGATCCTGGAACCAGTACCCCCTCAGACACCATGGAACAACCCTAATGAACATTGATAAGATTGCATCTGGGTAGGATTTAAATCCTGGACTTGGCTTCCTCATTTGGTTGAATGTGCCCACTGTGGGTGCCAATTACTCCTGGGTCTTGATCTTAGAACAGCATGTCTCCTTTGTGCTACGTATAGGGTTCTTCACACATTCAGTTCTATTAGTTATCAGTGTTCCTTCTGCCAGTAGTTTTCTGAGACAAGTGATAGTTTCGAAGTTGGCAACTCCCATTCATGGTGCAGTAGGGGCTTGGTCTTCTCAGGTGTCAAGGAACAAATTGGCCTGTGAGCTTCTTGCAGTGGAATTCTTTTTTTTTTTTTTTAAAGAGAGAGTGAGAGAGGAGAGAGAGAGAGAGAGAGAATTTTTAATGTTTTATTGTTT